CCGAGCTTTTCAGTTCACGCTTCATTTGCCATATACACGACGAATTGTCATTTGAAAGTTCGTAATTATCGGTGAAATGGGTGATCTCATGGCAACACCGTCAGTTTGTTTGTAGAGTGAACGGTTATACACAAATAGTGTTGACTGGAGACATAGTTCAGTTGTGTTCATTAGTTCGTCAGTTGTCAAGTTCATTCGATCACTGAGTGTGTGGTCACTTTTAAGACGACTTTTCACTATGTCCAGACATTCATCGATAGACATTTGTGTGAACAGGGATACCACATCGTAACTCACCAAGCATTCATCACGTTCAACAGTCAGTGTTCTGAGTTTATCCACTAAATGAGATGAATTCTTGATAAAATGTTCATTACATTTCAAGAGGGGTGTGACAAACTTTGCTAGCTTGTAATTAGGGGTACTTGTTTAGTCAACAGTAGGACGAATAGGAATGTTTGGTTTGTGTATCTTGGGTAGACCATAAAAGCGGGCTGGACAACAAGTCTTGGGATACAGTTGGAACAACTGTGACTTACTCAACTTTGGTGGTAATTCATGAAGTAGTTTGGCTGTGAATGCTTGTGTTTTGTGCAGGATCGCTCTGCGTTTCTGTTCCGGCAGTTTTTCATACTGTCCAGTTGACAGATATTCCAATGCCTTTTTCTCGTAGTCTGTCCGATCCATGGTTGTTTTTTCCGATTTGGTGGTTACAACTGAATGATCATTGCGTAGATTACGAAGAGCCATTCGTTTCCCCCGTGTCAAGTTACTTGTCTGTGGTTTCTGATTTCTTAGCGCCCGCATGATTTGGACTCGAACTTCGTTGGCTTGTTTTTCGTCTAATTTTGCAAGCTTGTGTTCCATGGGTGGTATTATGTCAATCGGCTTCAATATAGGTGCGCTCATGTTAAAATTCAGTCCTTTATTTAAGAGCGTTAGTTCTTCATCAGCGAGTTTCCGACTTGACAGATTAAGCGATGGTTGGATGGTGGAATGATGCAGTGGTTGGATGTGCTTTGATGTCAATGCATCAAATTTCATCATCTGCCGTTGTTTCACCTCTTTCATTCTCTGATTGATACGTATTACAATTATGCTTTGTAAGGTAATCTGTCCATAGGGTTGCGAAATTTGTTTCAATATATCATCCATGCACCGGCCGCCTTTTCTAACATTTTGCAAGTAGGTTGTACAACCGTGAATACGTTGACGTAGGAAGGTGAGTTGCGCAACTCTAGCAGCGCGCTTCAAGCGATCAGAAGAGTCCGGTGATTGAACACCTAGGCTCCGTGGGGCCACATTGGTTACCAAGCAACGAAGGTTGAAAATACTGTGGTTAATCCAACTCGCCTCGAGCTTGATGAGATAAATCCGATGATTGATAATCTTCATAACACGAGATCCATGGATGGAACGAATCTCACTGAAAAACATGGGCGTCGTGCTCATGACTATTGAGGAAATTAGTTTGTCCTAGCCACGACAAATGACAACCAAAACACAAAGGCGTTGGTGACAACGTTTCGATCTTCTTGGAAGACCTTTTTCAAGTCGTTTAATCGGTTAATCTCACGTTACAAGCAATAATAGGGCGATGGGATGATGACATCGTATAGAACTCGAATGTGATTCGAGCATACGTGTATGTGTATGTGAATGTGTGTGTGTGTGTGTTGGTGGTCACTTATGTTGGTATCACACATGTTACATCGTAGATCGGTTGAACACTAATCCTTACACACGGCTAGTTTGTCAGTTATAGTAGTAATCACAACCGTAGTCATTCGTAAATATTCTCCCCGACCTAATGGTTAACGCTTAAAGCACCCCCAAAATCTGTATTTGGTAAATACCTTGGTGTCACCCTAATCCATAACCTGTCCTGGTCTGCTCATGTCATCAGCGTTTTCACAAAAGTTCGAAAACTGCCTTTTTATACTTACAGGTTCAGGAAGCTGGTCGTACCACATTATCTGAAACTTAAATTTATGATTGCCTACATTCTTGTACCCTGGCTATACTGCTCCCCGGTATTTATCTCTGGTCTGAAAGAAAATAACTTCAATTTATTTTCTCGATTCTTGCAACTCTTTTCCCCTTACAGTAGAGTTGATAGAGTTAATTTGGTTGATTACTTTATTTCGAAGCTTCTTGATACTTGCAACACTTTTATTGACAGGATAGCATGTGATCAAGAGCACTGTCTGCAACAGGATATAGCGAAAGCCCTGTCCCATCCGCGAACTCGCTCAGACGCACCCGTCCGAACGGAGCCGCTTGGCGCGATTTGCACCATATATCTGAATTCGTATTCACATATCTGATCCTTTGTGAACCCCGTGTAGACATGTAATCGTTGGTCTTCCAAAAATGACCCCTTCGCTGCCCAAGAGTTAGGGCCTGTGATGATCCACCAAGTTTGAGCTGACTCAATTGCTAATTGACGCGAACCACATGCTCTTCAGATTAACTTGATTCAAGGGAATGTCACTTTGATTCCGATTGAGGTCTCACGGAGAAAGAGAAAAACCGTCGATTAGTTATTTCATGCAGGTTGCTGCAACGTTAACCATTTGGCAGACTTTTCTGACTGGTTATCCCTAATATCGCGCTTGATTTCATGCGATCTGATGAACTCAAATCCACGAGGGAATAAAATCACGCGGTAATTTGGTTAACCAATAATCCTTACACACACGTACGTGGCCAGGATTTTCGTCAGCTGGGTAACCAACGAGTTATCTGATCAGAAAATCAAGAAACCTGAAAAGAAGCAACCTGATAACAAAATGCATTCATCCACGGTTACGATAAACCCGGTTGCACCAGAGATACACAATACAATGATTACGGACTAGCATTTGCCAATCCAAACGCGCACACACGCGTATTTCTGGGGATAATTAGTTCCACGTAGACCCCCCGTCACCCCATCACCCCTTGGCACTAATTTTCACATTCTGTCCGGAACAATTTTCATCTTTTCCTATCGGTCGCCATGGTTCCCATGTTTTTGTCACCAAACATGTAATCAATAATTGTTTCAGAGGCCAGACAAACACCTCTATTAGCAATATTTGCCAAGGGCGCGCACTGAGTATAACTTATCAATTTCTCCACCCATTTTGTAGGGCGTTGACGCCTAACTGGTGTTCATGTGCAATTGCTAAATTCCTTCGGATAGTCGATAACAAAAACAACAACAATGATAAACCATCAGATAGATAATAATTGTGGTTCAAATGGTCCAAATGAGTCATACCAATAGAATAACCCCGTGCACAATCGGACTGACTGGTCGGGGGAGGCACTGTTGGTAGGACAGTTATAACAATAGTACCGAGGCATATCATGTGACATGATTTGGTTACGCCACATTCAGGAAATGACTAGCGACTTCCGGTCACTTTGCCCTGACCCAATATTTGGACAGCACGTTTCTTATTGGAGGACGAAAAACAAATGCTTTCTGGGTATATCCAGCGCCCAATCTACCTCACGAATAAAATAAGCCCATCATCGAAATCCGAACACAAATCGCAGCAAACATGCTCTATTGTGGGTGAGTTCCTTCTGAAGTCATTACAATCACTTATGTTAACCGCATCAGCCAATTCCAGGGCACTTGTGGTACCACTGACGCGAGTTGTAGTGCACGGAAGTTATCTAAAATCATCAAGGAACACATAACCATTAGTTAGGACGGAGCGCACAGAACCCGTCACGCCATACATGGACCCGCGTCACACCACAAGTGTGTTCATGACGCCCAAAGCCGAATCGATTCCGGATTGGATGACTAAGGCGAATCAGAAAGCTGTCATCTGATCGATCAACTGGAGTATCAAGGTCGTGATCTGATTGGTGCTCCATCAAGTACGCGGAATTTACCACACATATTTGGGTATTGTTTCACGATCAATAATATATTCTGACTGTCATTTTCTCAGCCGTGTTCTCTCTCCTCATCGTTGTTGAGGGCTAGTAAAGAGGCGCTCATATCGATCATACGTCTTGCCAAGACATAACACCATGAGGCTTAGACACGGAGGAATCGGAGTGAGTTTACAGTTGGATTGTTGCACACTTGGTCAAAACTGAACATAATATGAATGCCAACTCGGCTTTCACCCTCAATAATCACATCCC